TTTTTTTTCTTTTTCTTTAGGAGTTAAGCCATTTGAGTGCTTAACATGTGGAGTCGCTTGGGCTGACGCCCGATCTCTAAAGCGCCACGTCAGAACACATACAGGTGAACGGCCCTATGTCTGTCCTGTATGTAGTGAAGCCTACATAGATGCTCGAACACTCCGTAAACATATGACTAAATTCCACAGAGACTATGTGCCTTGCAAAATTATGCTGGAAAAAGACACCCTTCAGTTTCATAACCAAGGAACTCAGGTGGCACATGCTGTTAGCATCTTAACAGCAGACATGCAGGAACAAGAAAGCAGTGGTCCTCAAGAACTTGAGACTGTGGTAGTGACAGGAGAAACTATGGAAGCTCTGGAAGCTGTTGCAGCTACTGAAGAGTATCCATCGGTTTCTACGCTTTCTGACCAAAGTATAATGCAAGTGGTTAATTATGTATTGGCACAACAGCAAGGACAGAAGCTATCTGAAGTTGCAGAAGCTATTCAAACTGTTAAAGTAGAGGTAGCACATGTTTCAGAAGGAGAATGAATATGTTATGAAGATAAAAAGTAACATCTCTTGTACACTGAACTCACAGAACATTTGTTTACAGTTCTTGATGACTATGTGCTTGGAGTTTACATATCAAAGCTCTGGGCTGTTTGGTAACATAACATTTCCAAATATTCTCTCCAGCTGATGGGTTCAATAGAAAAGTCCATTTAGTGTAAAGGAATTGAAAACAAGTCTATTAGGTTGGTGCAATTACTTTTGTAATTGACTAATTAATTACTTTTGCACTAACCTAATATTTGATGGCAGTGGTTTATCATGATACACCTTTTATGAATTAATGTTTATAAATGACTGTACTGAATTTAAAACTGTACAGTTTCATTTGCATTTTGACATATTATACATTTTGCATTTAAAAGGCTGCACCAATTGGCTTTTCTTCTGTTTTATTCTCAAAATACAGAGATTCTGTGATTTATTTGCCCTGTTTATGGATTAAAAAGAAAATTCTAATATAAAAGCATTTCAATAGGATGCATAGGTATATTACTTTTAAATGCTTTAGATCTGTGATTCTTGACTATTTATTTTATCCCTTTTAAGTCAGGGATTCTTTATTCTGTTTTAAAGCACTTAATGAGTTACATGTTGTAATCAAGTTTGCACAATATATTTATCTATATGGGGAACCCATAAATGAATAGCTAATTTTTCAAATGCCATTAAAATGCATGAAATGCTTATTAAAACCTTATTATACTGTCTCTTCAAGGCAAGTAAATTGACCATGAGAAAAGAACACTTATTAAACACTGTTGATGGAAAAATTCTCCTTGTTAACATAGGACAATTAATGGGGAAAAAAAATTCTCGTTCTTTGCAAAGAATGAACAAGTTGATAAGCTAGGTTTGGTATGTTTTCAGCTTTTGTATCATGTTTGTTTAATTTGGTTGAAAAACTGCAGTTGAGAAATCGGATAGCAATATAGAAATTCACAGCAGCTCTGTGGATACCATGTAATTGTCAGATAACTTCGGAATATTGAATATTATTCAGTGCAGCCCTCATAGTATAATACTTGAAGAAATTAATTGATTACAATTTCACCAAATTGTTTAAGGTAAATTTTTTTCTTTTGAGATGAAGTTTTGCTCTTGTTGCCCAGGCTGGAGTACAATGGCACAATCTCAGCTCACCATAACCTCCACCTCCTGGGTTCAAGCGATTCTCCTGCCTCAGCCCCCCAAATAGCTGGGATTACAGCATGTGCCACCATGCCCAGCTAATTTTGTATTTCTGGTAGAGATGGGGTTTCTCCATGTTGGTCAGGCTGGTCTCAAACTCCTGACCTCAGGTGATCTGCCCACCTCAGCCTCCCAAAGTGCTGGGATTACAGGTGTAAGCCACCATGCCCAGACTGAAGATAAATTATTTTTAAAGGCTACCTGAAAATTATATTAATTCATATGTTTGATTTTTAAATCCCACCTCCTTAAAGCTATCCAATTTTCTGACTTTGAAAATAACCGTGAGAGATGCCACATTTCTCTCTGGGAAACTACCACTCAAAGTATAATTGTTAAAAAATTAAGCCTTTAGGTATTAGAAGCTGTTATAAAGTATAAGTATAAAATTAAGATATAAGCAGAACACATGTAAATCATTCCTAAAGCACAAGAAAAGAATGTGCCTTGATGTACATATATTATTAAGATGCCCCTCCTAGTTTACTTTAAAAATGGCTTTAAGAATAAACAATAAATGTGATAGCTGTGCATGCATTATATATTTGCATTTGCAAATTTTTCATTGTTTTAACAGCTGTGTGGCTGACTTTCAGTTTTAAGAAGTGAATTGACATATAGCCCATAACTTTATAATGGCTGCTCATTTATCTTTCAGTTGGTGAAAAAGCATTTCAACCTGTCTAAAATTTGGAATTGTGTCTTTTATGTTCCATCCTCACTATTGTTATTAGATTTAGTTTAAAAATTATATACGACCATTAATGTATGTCATAAATATGTAAATAAAAGATGTTGAATCTTGTTTAAAAGCATGAGCTTTGGAGTTGGGCTTGTCACTATTTTCAATTCATAAATCAGTTGTTACTTGATATGTTAATTTAACATATAACTTAAACTTAATTTAATAATTAAGTTAATTTATTTTAAAATGGAAAGGAAATCAAACATGAAAAAATAATGATTGGAGGAACACTTAATATTAAAACTTCTTACTCTTAAATATAATTGATATGGACAGGAGGCAAGGAAATAATGGGTAGAAGGGGGCAGTTCCCCAGCAAAGGCCTGGAAAACCCAAGGCCCTAAATGGGAACAGGCATTCCTGTTTTCACGCCCAAATGTTGCTTTGTGGTCCACCACAGCCCCCGATTCTGCACCCATATAAACCCTAAACACAGGCTCCATGAGCAGAAGAGCAATGCAGCAAAGAAGGAGAGAAGAGAAGGAACATCTAAACGTTGAAAGGAGTTCAGCTGGGGATCGTCGAAGAGATCAGCCATAGGATGGCTGAACTCCAGGGAAAGATGATCTTCCCACTCCATCCCCTTTCCAGCTCTCCATCCATCCCGCTGAGAGCCACCATTATCCAGCAATAAAATCCTCTGCATTTACCATCCTTCAATCTGTCCATGTGACCTGATTCTTCCTGGATACCAGACAAGAACCCAGGTACCAAGAGGGCACTGAGCTGGTTAACACTTAAGCCATCTGTGGACAGCAGTGCTAAAGGAGCACGGTAACATGCCCACTGGGGTCTTCAGGAGTCGCAGGCATTCCCAACCAGACGCTACTATGGGGTCAGAGCTCAAAAGCGCTCAATCCAGCTCCTGCACTTGCCCAGTCTGCGTGCTCCCCCTTCTATAAGGGGCTTGGCTGAACAGATGAGCCATACCCCCATCGCATGTCCTGTGAGGGTATCAGGGAATGCTCCTGTTTTATAATCTTGCCATAAAATTAAATATTGTGCCATCAGCCATCAGCTTTGAATAATTTAAACATGTAGAATTATATAAATTCCATGTAGAAACAAATGTTAAGGTTCTGAAAATTCAGCAGAGTTTTAATGTTACCATGAGGGCATTGCTAGTTTATAACAATTCCTTTTTAGAAGCATAAAGCATATTGCTGTCATCAGATGACTTCCAAAAACTGCAGGTGTCTCCTGATCAAATATCCAGTCCTTAAGCACTTGTGGCTACTTGTTACTGCTGCTGGTACCAAGTGATTTGGATCAGTGCGGTTACTCCCTGAAATGGTATATATTGTCAATAGAAATGAATTAAGTAAGGCTCTAACAGGTTTTAATATGTTCATTTTACTAAAAGCCAGTGGGGGGTTATGTACAAGATAAGCTGTTGAATTTAGAGCTAAACCAAACCTTCTGGCTTTTTCCCCTCTTGTTCTTATAGCATTGGTAAAAACTGTGTGGGCATGATGTTTTGTTTTTTTGAGATAGAGTCTCTGTTGCCCACGCCAGAGTGTAGTCGTGCAACCATGGCTCCCTACAGCCTTGACCTCCTGGGCTCAAGTGATGCTGCCTCAGCCTCCCAAGTAGCTGGGACCACTAGCTCCTAAAAAGCCCAGCTAGCTAATTTATTTTTTGTAGAGATGAGGTCTCTCCTTGTTGCCCAGGCTGGCCTCAAATTCCTAGGCTCAAGTGATTCTCCCACCTAAGCTTTCCAGAGTACTGGGATTACAGGCGTGAGCCACCACCCGGGGCCGATGATGTTTTCTGTTCATGATTCTTTCAAATCTGTAATCTTGGAGGTTCCTAACGGGTTTTACATCCAGTGCTTGGCACGTGTTTAGTAAAAGCCTTTATTTCACTCGATCCTACAAATTTAGCAGTACTAGTTGTTGAAATGTGTGGAGCAAAGATACATAATTTCTTTAATCACTTAAAAAATGCCAAATTTAGGCCGGGCGCGGTGGCTCAAGCCTGTAATCCCAGCACTTTGGGAGGCCGAGGCGGGTGGATCACGAGGTCAAGAGATCGAGACCATCCCGGTCAACATGGTGAAACCCCATCTCTACTAAAAATACAAAAATTAGCTGGGTATGGTGGCGCACGCCTGTAGTCCCAGCTACTCGGGAGGCTGAGGCAGGAGAATTGCCTGAACCCAGGAGGCGGAGGTTGCGGTGAGCCGAGATTGCGCCATTGAAACAAAACCTGCAAAAAGATCGAAACACCGTCTAAAAAAAAAAAAAAAAAGCCAAATTTATTTTGTAGTCTGTTATAATTTGAAGGTTTCATTTTGTTTTTTTGCTTTTTTGCTAGTCAAGTGAAGCAGTGGGCATGGAGAAGGAACAGAAATCTGAAACTAGTTATGACCAATTAGTTGTAAATACCACTGCAATTGGATCAGCTATCTGAAGTTTTGAGGTTTAATACTACTGCTATTCGATTTTTTGGCGGGGGAGGGGGCAGGGACAGGGTCTCATTCCCATCGCCCAGGCTAGAGCGCAGTGGCACTATCATTGTTCACTGCAGCCTTCACTTCTGGGCTCAGGCGATCCTCCCACCTCAGCCTCCCAAAGTGCTGGGACTACAGGTGTGAGCCACTGCCCAGCCCTTCAAGGAGTTTTATGATTTAGAGTATGAGTTCATCTCCTATAGGGCCTGCTATTGTTGAAATGTTTGTATCTTTCAGAATTCATGTTGAAACTTAACCCCTAATGCAGCAGTATTGAGGTATGGCTTTGAGAGGTGATTGGGTCATGAGACCCTTGCCTTATGAATGTATTAGTGCCTTATAAAAGGGCTGGAAGCAGGCCAGGTGCGGTGGCTCACACCTGTAATCCAAGCACTTTGGAGGCCAAGGCAGGCGGTCACCTGAGGTCAGGTGTTCAAGACCAGCCTGACCAATATGGTGAAACCCCGCCTTAAAAAATAAAGGCGGGGGGCTGGAAGCTACTAGCTAAACTCTTTTTTTTGCCGTTTTTGCCTTATGGCCTTGTGCCATGTGAGAACACAGCAACAAGGCTCCATTTTGGAAGTAGAGAGCAGCCCTTGCCAAACACTGAGCCTAGTGACACTGGGCCTAGTGGAGCCTTGATCTTGAACTTCCCAGCCTCCAGAACAGTGACAAAATAAGTTTATGTTATTTATAAATTATGCAGCTTACGGTATTTTGGTATAGCAGCCCAAATGTACTAATGGCCTTATTTTAGGGAATCTTACACCACCTACCTAGGTCGAAGATAGTTCCTTCCAGATCAGTTTTGAAACCAGCCTGACCAACATGGAGAGACCCCGTCTCTACTAAAAACACAAAATTAGCTGGGTATGGTGACCGGTGCCTGTAATCCCAGCGACTCAGGAGGCTGAGGCAGGAGAATCACTTGAACCTGGGAGGTGGAGGTTGCACCGGGGTGCAGTGACGTGGGATCACGCCACTGCACTCCAGCCTGAGCAACAAGGGGGAAGCTCTGTCTCAAAAAAAAAAAAAAAAAAAACACTTCTGGGGAGGTTTTGGCCTGCCTGAAGCTCGGCATGAGACAGCCTTCTGTCTCTGGGGTGGTGAATGGATTTTTTTCTGGTTTGTGTTTTTGCTGAAAGTGAAGCTCTTCGTTGGTCCCAGCTTTGTGTGGAGCTGTTTCCATTTTTGTGTTCCCAAACCCTGATCTCTTGTCAACATTTGGCAGCCCAAAGCCGACCCCTCTGAGGCTGGCGTTTTCATCTACTAGAGGCTACTGCAGCTTCCACTTGCATATTTGGAGCCCTTTCTTACAAAGCACTTTGACTTCCATAGGATGTTAATAAGCAGAAATGTTCAGGTGTCTTAGTCTGCCAAATACTGAAAACCAAGTCGTGTTGTTTTTATTTTATTTTATTTTTATTTATTTATTTATTTATTTTTGAGATGGAGTTTCACTCATGTTACCCAGGCTGGAGTGCAATGGCGCGATCTCGGCTCACTGCAACCTCCGCCTCCTGGGTTCAGGCAATTCTCCTGCCTCAGCCTCCTGAGTAGCTGGGATTACAGGCACGCACCACCATGCCCAGCTCATTTTTTGTATTTTTAGTAGAGACGGGGATGTTGACCAGGATGGTCTCGATCTCTTGACCTCGTGATCCACCCGCCTCGGCCTCCCAAAGTGCTGGGATTACAGGCTTGAGCCACCGCGCCCGGCCTACTCTCTCCTTTCTTGGGGTGTCGTAATTTAGCAGTCTTCCTTCCCATTGATCATATTT